ATAATTCCTCCATACTGTTAATAGTACATTGAAAGCCAAGCCTGTTTCCAAAACTGAACATTGTAAGTAGACAAAAACCAATACAATAAATAAATTCAAAAAGCTAAATACTGGAATTTAAAAGACTATAAATAGGCTCCGGGTAAATAAAGTGTTAAAACGTAGCTTTAGTTCAGCTCGATGAACTCTGTTTTACACCGCGTTGTCGCAAAGCACCTCTAAGTTTGTTTCGCGGTTACAATGGAACTGGGTCTTGGCGTGTTTTACCCGAGAGTTCCGACAACCGGTAAAGAACAGGACGTGGAGAGTAACCGCCTCGCGATCAACGGTATACCGTCGCCCGTGTACGCCAGCGTCCTAGTTGCGGATGAAAAAGACGAGGGTGGGAATGAAAAGGCGTTTGTGCAACGTCACTCATTAGATATTTAATGTTTCAGCTTTGCCTGCCGAGCGGGCTGAGATTCCGGACCCAGAAACACTCGGTGGAGCCCACGTTTCACTCGTTCGTGCTCACCAAGGAGGACGGGCACAGAACGTACGGGTTCAGTCTTGTCTTCTACGAGGAATGCAGGAATCGCAAGATATGCGCGGCTATGCAAACACTGCAGGCGATGCATATCACGGAGCTGAGCAGCGGCCAAAACGGTACACCGCCAACGTGAGTCTCCTATGAGTCGTTTAATAGCTGGGTACTTGAATGATACAGTTAATACGACCTACACTCGACGACATGAGTCTCGACGATAGACAGTTTTTATTTAGTATGACGTCTAAGAGAGAGAAATGTATTTTGCAGGGTAAGGAAAGGCCAGGATGGACATAACACGCGATCGCTGCCACGGCATTTCAAGCTATCAGCGCATTCTCAAAGCGCCGCGTTGGGCTACTATGATTCTACCAAAGACAAGTTGCTAGTGACTAAATCGATATCCTTGCTATGTCAGCAGTCCTACCTTCACGCCGCGAAAACGTTCCTCACTAATCTCTACAAGTAAGTAAGCCTCCACATCCTCCTCTAACACCGACACTCTTTTTGGAGACTAAAAAATCTCGTAAATTCCTTTTCCAGATGTGTTCCTAGACACCCAGGACCCGGTCTTAGCTTAGAGTCCTACGTGTACAATATTCTCTATAACGTGCCGGTACCATTGCCTGGGAAGTCGTTGAAGTTCTTCGTTCCCAGCGACGAGCCAGCAAAGTCACCGTTGGAATTAGTTATATATCAGCCGACACCGTTGCAGGAACTACCGATGCTCGATTATCCTCTGAAAGACATGTTCACGTGGCTCGGCGCGGAGTGCGTGATTCAACTGTTTACCTGTGTGTTATTGGAGAACCAAGTGCTGCTAAGAAGCTCGGATTTTCACAAGCTGATGGTGGTATCCGAGTGCATAACGGCGCTTCTCTTCCCATTTTCCTGGCAGCACGTGTACGTGCCGATATTGCCTGCCAGCCTGCATCACTTCTTAGACGCGCCTGTGCCGTTCATAATGGGTTTACATGCTCAGAGCGAGGGCGGCGTCCTGAAAATTGCTAGCGAAGTAAGCGATCCAGTCTTTAATAATCGATGATCTTAGAATTTCCTCCTCGACGTAAATTGAACGAGAAGAGTTTAGAACACGCATGTTAAACTCGTTTTAGTTCGACACTGTTTTATGTTTTGTTTCTCGATTGCAGGCAAATCTTTGTTATGTAGATATAGATAAACAAAATAGCCAATTTCCAGAAGAATTACCCGTGTTTCCTCATAGGCCGCAATTCATTAATGAGATTAGAGCTCTCTTAAACAAGTACAAAGTACCATACTCGGGAAAGTAAGTGAAAAAAGTCGTTCTTCTTTGCCGCGCATTTATTTAACGCGACGTTTAACGGCGAAATATTTTATAGGACTGACAACATGGTCATAAATCATTACAATGGCGACATCATGACAAGTAGTTTGACGCTTCCTGGTTCTGGTTTTCATCTTCCTCGCAGAAAACACTCGTTGCACGATGTCCTGGATTGGGATCGGCCGGAACCGCCTCAATCGGACACTTTACAAAGGATAGTAGATATTGTTAAAAGAACGGGTAAGCGTTCAATTACAAAAATAATTTCAAAAATAATTTCAAAGATACTCGCCCTTAATATAAGATTCTTTTCGTTGCACGTATTTGTTACAGGCGTGAACGTAGACGATCTTGATTCGATAGACGATAACGTAAAGGAAAGAATACTCACACCGCAGGAAGAGTATCAGGAAACGCTTATGTTTAATAATGCGATTAGGGAGATTTTTTTGAACCGTTTTGTACAGATCTTTTCTAGTTACGAACACTTCGTTATTCAGCCAAGTCAGGTGCGATACGAGACTCATGCATGATTCATTGCTGTAAATTAAATTACAACTGTAAAATGGAAGTTAACTGTACGTTATAGGATAAAGATGAGTGGTTGAATAATAGAGATAGTATGCACGTTTTTGATAAGGCGACATTTTTATCCGATCAACCCACGCAGCATTTACCGTTTCTATCGAGATTCCTGGAGACGCAAATGTTTGCTTCTCTTGTCGACAATAAAGTCATGTCTACGTGGAGCGAGCTGGATTTTAATATACGGGTTTTCGATCAGAGAATTTCTCACTTGAGGTGAGTCTGACGAAATTAAATATCTTTTTAAACAAATTAACGTTTAATATATTTACTGTGGAAAGATTCATTGTTCCCCTTACAGAAAAAAAGTTGGCGAGGCCATCGTACGATCGACTCGTTACGAACCATGTACAAATATAGAGGAGTCGCAAAAAGTGTTGGAACAGAGACTGATGAATGTGGATTTCGAAACGAACCCACCCAATGAGATTCTTCCTCATAGGGCGGCGTATTTTCGAAGTTTTCCATTGTTAGACACTGTTGCGTTAAATAAGGAGCCGGCTCAGAGGTACACATTACGCGCAAATATATTTCTTCACCTATTACATCGATGCATACTAACATTTACTATCTTATTTCCTGCTTCACGTATAGCATACTTCGGTAAGGACTACTTCTCTGAAGTCGTATAACGTGCATGTGTATTTTGTGTGACTGTCTCAGTGTCCCGTTAATTAAATTTAATTATCATTTAGAATTTCACGTAATCGAATATCTTCGAACGACTTGGAAAATACTTTTAATTTATAATTGTTTGTCCCTCGTCTAAATTTAACGACAGCGGAGTACAATTGTAATTGTTCGATTGCTTACAACAGCAGTCGGAGAGGACAAACCCAGTGGAAGTACAAAATGAAGTCCATGGAGTCGAATGGAAAACCCCCCGCGCCTCAAGAAACGCAGTCACCCAGGCCACAAACCAAGCTCTCAGCGGACATGAGTCCAGCGTTGATAGCGCAAGCCAATTGGACTTTTGTTGAAAAATTGCTCAAGGTACTTTCCTTGGAAAATAAAAGAATTAAATGCTCGTTGAAATAACCAGGTTAAATGCTAAATGGATCTTTTCTTTCATCAAGGACTGTAAATCAAAGACAAAAAGGATGTTGGTCGAGAAAATGGGCTCCGAAGCCGTAGCATTGGGTCACGGTGGCGAGTCGTTGTCCGATGTCGAAGAGAATACTCTAGTTGCCAGTCTTTGCGATCTCCTAGAACGGGTTTGGAGCCACGGATTGCAAAACAAACAAGGGAAAAGCGCCCTTTGGTCGCACCTTACTATGTACCAAGAACTAGAAGAGTGTAACGAATCAACTAAATCCATAGATCCGAACTTTCTCTCTCCTGGTAAGTTATGATTTATCATTGCCTCACGATATCTGTTATATAATTGTGCTTCATCCTCGTGATCACGATACTTAATAAATTTTATCACATTTGGAAATTCAGCGCTAGCGTGGTGCGTGCTGCGGAAACGACTCGATTGTACGTGCCTTATTTTATTTAAGATAAAGTGTTAAAAGTAGAGATTAGTTTCTCATACGTAGATACTCTGCACTGTATTAGTTGTAAGTGACCCATTATCGATAAACAATTATTTATCACTGTCTATGTGTTCTCCGCTAAGATTGCACAAAGTATATTAGTGAGCACATTTGGTTGCTACTTTTCGGTATAACCAAACATTTTTTAATATTTTGCTTTTTTAAATATGATTTACATTTTCGTTTTGGTTAATTTTTATTTGTGTTTTATTTTCCTGTTATAAATAGCCAAGAAATCGCCAAATAAGTTTTTTGGATTACCGGACCGCTTAATTTCATCCTTAAAGGGCAGAAATATTTTTGAAATTGCTTCTTATATCAAGGAGAATTTGAATGGTAAGCCGTAGCGTTGGCTTGCCACAGGAGACTTTCGATAATGACATTGCATTTTATTTTTATGGTTCTCAGTAAACTGCATGTTCGTGTCATTGGTGTTGATGTTTCGACAAATGTTGCGGAACATATTTATTAATTTATTGAAATTATAACTAACGTAGATAGATATTTCAGAATATTATTTTCTCTTGATATTGTTGTTACGAGTTACGCGAAAGACTGAGTTAATTTGTCTATGGAAATTGCATCCAGGCTGTTTTGATCGAAGCATGACTTGTTTGCATGGATCTTTAGAAACATTTTAGTGACAGTGTAAAAACAAATAATTATTTTGGACATTTTTCAGCTTTTCCATGTAATTTAATTTGTATCATCTTTAAACCATGACAGATTTATCAAACCTGGCATTGGAGACTGATGTTTCGCCTACACGAGGGACGGATAAACATAAATCTCCCGGGGATAGAAAGATTGGTCCAGAACATCTGAGGCCTCTACCCGATTCTTTGCTCTTTGACATAAGAAATGTGCAAGCGATGACTGATATTAAGACTCACATTGGATACGCCAGAGCCTGGGTTCGATTGGCATTGGAGAAAAAACTCCTTTCTCGTCATTTGAAAACGCTTCTATCGGACACCACATTGTTAAGGTACAGATAAACTTAATCTCTAATTATTACTGTTAGAACTAATGAAAGTTATCACCATGCTTTGACTCGACATTGTATCGTGTAATTTCTCAGGAGTCAGTACAAACGCTCAGCGTTCCTTCGCTGCGAAGAGGAAAAGGAACAATTCTTGTACCATCTCTTAACGTTGAATGCCGTCGATTATTTTTGTTTCACTAACAACTATCCAACCACAAAGTTGCCATATAGGGTTGTTATATTTCCTAGTCGAAAAGCAAGCGCAGCTACTACTTCCGCGAATAGCTGGATCGCTATCTCAGGTACTCTGTGCGAAACGAATCCGGTTCCCATTCCTAAAGGAGCGCTGGAATTCGTATTTCACGTAAGTTTATATTCTCATTAAATTTTTATTTTAAATGATATAAACACAATCCTTAATCGTAATTCTAATTTTAGCATAAGAATTTGGGTGTACTCTCTACGTTACGAATAGGACACGACAATACAGGTCTTTCTCCTAAATGGATGGTGGAACACGTAGTGGTGAGAAATGAGGTTACGGGGCATACGTTTAAATTCCCTTGTGGTAGATGGCTTGGCAGAGGTATCGACGATGGCTCTACCGAGAGATTATTAGTGGGTGCTTTAGTGCCCCGCAGTATCGACAATGAGGAATTGGTCGAGTCGTGTTCGACTCCGCCAAGATGTAGATCGCCCAGCATACCTAGGCGCCCGATATTGTCTCAAGTTGAGCTGCAACACATGTTAGGTAAATACGAGTGAAAAAGTTCATTCTAAATTCGTATTATTCTACGCTCTTTTTTTCTTTGCAGGAGAAGCCGTAAACGCAATTGTAAAATTCCACTATCGAAGAGAATGCCAAGATGGCTCTCTGACAGCTTTGCTTTGCGGAGAAGGTGGCCTTGTACCATCCTTGGAACAAATATTTTTATTCGGGTTCAAAAATCAGAGGATATTTGGGAGAAACTTTTATGTTTGGGATTACCTCCGTAAGTTACTCAAGGATAGCCTATGTTGATGCGAGCACAGTATCATTCGTTACTCTCAAACTTATTTTCAGTGCGCATAAAGGAAAATTTTGAAATTTCCTTGTTGGAGGAAATGGACGAATATTCACAGAGGTTGAATAGAGGCAGACGAGCCCACGTTGAGAGTAATCAAAGGTTTACTACCTTGAGATGTTACTGTCATCTTATCGATCAAATTAATATGTTCAGCCAAACACTTGGCAAAGATGGGAAGTTTCAGTTGTTCATTTGCTTGGCAGCGAGGTAATTTGCTTACACGTTTATTAGTTGTATAATTTCGTTCGTATAATTAATTAGGTTATGTTTCAGGGAGCAGCTTCTTCATTCGATGCTGCGACCAATGAGCGAAGCACGCTCCACCACAGACATGTACGAGGAAACCTCATTTCTGAGAAATACCACGTTATTAAATTTTCTAGTTCACATTCTTGAACCATTGTGTGAGTTTCACATCGTCCTTGAGAAGAGTTTGACTCACGGAATTTCCAGTATATGTTAATTTATCGAATGACATTCCGCTTAATTAGGTAAGATATGTTTTAAGAAATTGATCGTGTTCCTTTAAAATTCCCTGTCTTTTCGTATTATCTTATATCGTGTCTCTTTGATGCAGCATGATTTACCAAAGGTTAAATATTGCGAAGCGAAAGAGGACAAGTGTTATATCGGAGGAATGAAGAACTTTCTAAAACCTATTATTAAGAAATTCAGAGGAATTTAATAATGCAAATGAAGACTGTTAGGGAACTGTAAAATAGTCGTTTTTAGGTGAAAAATTATTCGACGAAAAGTTGATACATGAGTGATGATGAAAACATAGATCTTGCCCAGTTTCAGACGCTTATGATATTAACGATGATGACAAGAGTCCCGATACAAAGATAGATCTAATTTGGCCCATCTTGCCATAGATATTAGTAGAAAGCAAACAATGTTTGTTGAAACTGACGAATCGTGTACCAAAGATGTGATCCTATTAGTTCTTACTATTAGTGTTATATTAATATTATCATTACTAAGGGTTTAGTTTTTTTTTTTTTTTTTTTTTTTTTTTTTTTACGGTCTTTGTCGTACGCAGGACATTCGAAAATCATACAACAACGTGTATATCGCGATAACTGAGAAGTTATACAGAACATGTATGGTTTTTGTATGTTCTATTATCATTTTTATCAAACGATAAAGAACAGAGAATAAGATCTCGCCCATAAAATTAGGATGGGAAAGATTTACATAGCATTACTGTCGAATCTTTAAGCATTTCCATGGGTCATGATATATTTAAGTAATGAAATTTTAACGATCAAAGCTAACTTGTAATCTTTCCTGATTTCTAAGGTCGATCTCTCGACGATTTGCAGCGTCGAGTAATACTCCTTTTTACAAAAATTGTATATTATATTACGGAATCTCTTTTTTATTTTCACTAGTTGACGAGTCTTTAACGTTAATTGTTAACTTTCAAGAAGCAAACTGTAACCAATTCCCGTATCTGTGTCTTGTTATATTTTTTTTCATCGAAATTTGAAGTCCAATCAATCTGTTATAGCATTGGAGTCAAATGGACCAAATAACTTAATCATTTACAAAATCTCTCGAAGTCTGGCAGTTCGCTCCTAATCTGCAATGTATGTAACATTGGTACCAATTGTCTTTCGACAGTTTTAATGTACTTGACGGTAATAAGACATAGCTATCAGAGTACAATATTTAGCATTTCACAACCATCGTTAAGTATTAAGTTGGTTTAAAAGTAATTTCGTTTTCTTAGCTGTTAATATTGAAATATCATAACTCAGTCCAGAATACAGAATATTTGTTGTCAAATGGCTTGAACAATACAAATAACGAAATTATTTTTCCATCAACCTAATAATCGTTTTGCTGCATAATGTTATCAATGAAATACTCGCATAATGAACTGGTCAGGTTCTTCTTTCCTAGATTTTCTAGGGAGTTGCGAAACAGTTCTTTTTATAATTTGTTCAGCGCGGAAAATGTTATTTTAGGTGATTGCAAAGTGTGCATTGTGATGCGTTTTAGACTGAAGAGTAATTTATTATACTTTTTCTTTTATACTTTATGCATACCTCGTGCTGTCATGTTGAAGCCAACTTTAAACTTTCTTGAGCCAATGTTTCTAATCAGGCATGTGTTTTAAATATCAAGTAATGATACCTTTGGACTATTTGTAATGTTTATAAAAAATTGAAATATATAATGCTTCTTTTAACTAAAAATAATTATAAAGAAAATATGTAACATTTTTATAAAGTGATTAGTTCTTCTACATGACCTCGACGTGTACCAGTTCACAATACTCAATTCAACATAGTTTGTACCTAAGCGTTAATTGAAGATTGAAAAAAAATTATGTCCATCTAATCGCAATCGATGCTGGATCATTCCTCGTCGAGGAGAATCATTATTCTATCAAATATTGTACATAAGTGAGGAATTATAAAGCTTGATGTAACGTACAGAATCTTTTACAAGACGACCATCGTATAATATAATTGTATATACGTATAAGAATCATAAAACAAGCTATTATAATACTGTACAGTAGAATAAAGTATTATCAAATAAAAGAGTTTCATTCATGTTTTATTCTGAAGTTTTTTAACGATATTGTCAAATATCGTAGGCACTCCTGTACCTGCGAAATGGCAACCGAACCGAAACACGGCTAGAAAAGGTTGCCACATGAAAGGGGTATCACAGCGCCTACAAGATGGCAACCGAATCGACAAACTGGCTGGTATAGGTTGCCGCATAAAAGGAGTACCTCTGCGCCTACGAGATGACAATCGAATCAACAAGTAGACTACTATCGGTTGCCGTATACTGATAGCATCCGTGGATAAAAATAAAAGAAATGTGTGCAAATACATAGACATAAGTGAAAAGATGTACAACTAGTTATACGTAAACAGTAGTGAAATAACTTGTAATTATATGGTTACTTTAATAAACAAACAATCAAACAAACAAACGTGTCAGATTTTATTCGTACCACCTCCCTGCATATCATGTTCTCCTGATACCAAAATCCAAAATCGGCCAGAATTTCAATACGTACCGAAAATGTGCCCCTTGAATTAGGCAACCGGCCCGACATACCTGTAAGTGTAGGTTGCCTGCTTTTCGGCGCAAACGTGCCACCTCTTCGAATATCATATGTGCTCCTGATACCAAAATCCAAAATCGGCCAATTTTTCGGTAAGTATGGGAATTCAGGCTGATTCAACAATGTTGCAAATCCCTCCTCTCAAAACTTTCACAATGTTGCAAACCCGACAATGTTGGAAATCGATTCTCCCGAAACTTTTCACAATGTTGCAAATCGATTCCCCCGAGACTTTCACAATGTTGCAAACCCAACAATGTTGCAAATTGATTCTCCCGAAACTTTCACAATGTTGCAAACCCAACAATGTTGCAAATCGATTCTCTCCCAACTTCAACAATGTTGCAAATCGCTTCTCTCCAAACTTCAACAATGTTGCAAATCGCTCCTCTCAAAATTGTGATTGGAAATGTCGGATTTTTACTCCTGGTATCAGGAGCACATGATATGCGAAGAGGTGGCACGTTTGCCTGTCAGTATAGGTTGCCTAATTCAAGGGGCTAATTTTCGGTACATTTCGGAATTCTGGCCGATTTTACATTTGGGTATCAGGAGTACATGATATGCGAAGTGGTGGCACGAGGAATACACAGTACGTATCGAAATTGTGCCCCGAGTTTTACATTTTGGTATCAGGAGAACATGATATGTTGAGAGATGGTACGAATAAAATCTGATACGTTTGTTTGTTTGATTGTTTATTAAAGTAACCATATAATTACAAGTTATTTCACTACTGCTTACGTATAACTAGTTGTACATCTTTTCACTTATGTCTATGTATTTGCACACATTACTTTTATTTTTATGCACGGATGCCATCAGTATACAGCAACCGATAGTAGTCTACTTGTTGATTAGATTGTCATCTCGTAGGCGCAGAGGTACTCCTTTCATGCGGCAACCTATGCCAGCCGGTTTGTCGATTCGGTTGCCTGCTCGTAGGCGCAAACGTGCCACACCTCTTCGTACATCATGTGCTCCTGATACAAAAACGCAAAATCAGCCAGAATTCCGATACGTACAGAAAATGTGCCCCTTGAATTAGACAATATATATACTTACACATACAGGCATGTCGGTCCGGTTGCTTGCTCGTAGGCGCAAACATGCCACCTCTTCGCATATCATTACAAATCGGTCTAGAATTTAATACGTATCAAGTACTTCTCGTGCCACCTCTTCGCGTATCATGTTCTCCTTATAGGAAAATATCCAAACCTTATTTACGATTAAAAATTTATAACAATGATACTTAACACAATGTTTCATAGCATTTACAATCAGTGTAGAATATTTAAATACTTTTTAATTAATTTTTGTATTAATCTCATTGCTGGACTATTAAGGAGAACACATCGAGTGACTGTATAAAATACCAATACTTTATTTTTCAATCGACTGTGCGTCGCACCACGCACAGGATATGTACAAAGTCGTCGTACCGTTTCTCCACCACCGGTACAACTTTGCGCGCCTACCGATTAAAAAGTTATTTTACGTGCTAGGTTTAAAAAGTAACGCATAAGTGTGGTTGCTTCATTTTTTTTTTCTTCTTCCTTTTTTTCTGTTCACTTTTCTCTCCCGTTATATTTGCTCCTTCACGGGCGACAGATTAAAAACTATACATACTGTTCCGAGCGGTGTATATGCGGTGCCTGAGGTATATCAGTGGTATTTCTATTGCGTTGCTTCGAGAATCGGTAAAACAACTTATACGACAAATATACAAAGTTATTAACATATAGGATCGATGCGAGTACACTACACATTTGTTCGACGTGTCTGGCAGTGGAGATATGTCCGTGTCGCGGAGGAGACGGGCTTCAACTCTTTCGGCGCATTCGTAGAGTACAAACTCTTACTTTCACTTAAATGGTAACGCATGGCAGAGTGTTAGATGGTGACGCGCGATACCGAAAGCGTTCAAGAACCTTGTCCTCGCATCGAACAAGGAAAAACAATTGAGAGGTCGGACTGTGACAACTGAAAATTCGCTGTGTAGTTGATTGTAGCATTTGTTCGGCCGGTAAAAAGAAGAAAAAGGTGACGCAAGCTCATTCGCGTTCTTACAAAGCTAAAACAGGGGCGGAAATACGAGGGCTGTTCGATTGGAACGAGACGTGATTTAGGAACAGGTTCGCGAGGAGCATGGGTCTCCATACATTTTTCTCTTTGCTCTTTTTCACAGCAATTTGAAAAGAAAACATTCTTCTCGAGTGAAATTATTTTCATAAATCGAAAAAGGGATACAAGAGAACGCGGAGCCTCCAATAATTAACGTAAACGAAATGGTGGTATAAATAACTTAAAGGAAAGTACAGGAACGTAAATCTCGAATGGTTCGTATAAATAAAATCCAACGAGCAAGTACAGTAAAGAGAGAATCTCGAAAAGAAATGAATATAAACTGAATATTCGTAGAATCATCCGAAAAAAAGTGGCGTGGATAATTCCGATCATCGATATAAAATAAATAAATCAAAAATCACGACACGAACGATTAGAATTTCGTTTGACTCGAGAAGAATCGGAGACCCTTCATCGAAGAACCGTCATCTCCCGGCTCGAGTCGACGTTCTGACGATGCGTCCCCTCGCCCCCGTCTCTCGACAATCCCCCCGATAATTTTCCAAGGTACATAATATACATGTAAAATAGTGTTTGCGTGCGCAACGCGTTTTACAATACGCACGCGCTATTAGTACAAGTAAGAAAAAAGGTGAACCGTGCGTACCAAGCCGGGATGATACAGTTTTTTTTTTCCTTTATATTACTCGATCTTCTAACGTTGTACTAAGATTTGGTTACTGAAGAGTATGTTGACTAAACTAGTTCGCTTTGTGGCACTGGGCTATCCCCCGTTTTGTTAGTCGGAATGCGGATTACACGAGCGCGGACGAAACGCGCGTTCCTCGTCGACGATCTTTTTCGCCGTCCAACGCGAAAGGAGAGATGGAACGCGCGTTCCCCGATAAAAAAAAAAAAAGTCCGTCTCCTCTTTCTCGTTACTCTATCGACGGCTCTTTTTTTTTTCTTTTTTGTTTGTTTAAGTACTAACAAGTAAATATTTTTTCTGTTTTCTTTTTTTTGGATGATCGTTCATCGATCTTTCTCGGACGTTTGACGTCAGTCGAACCTCGGCCACTGTCGTACTTCAACTTCGAAACATTTTAACCGATTGCTTCTCTTTTTTTTTTTTTTTTTTTGGTTGCCTCGACATACCCTAGGATTATTTATCTATACAACTATACGCGTACAGCGTTTACAGGACCAACAGCGTACATACGTTGCGTATCCACGACCCTAACTTTAGGCTAGAATTAGGCGACGGTTGCGTATCGATCGGAACAACAGTGGTCGCGGTTCGACTCCTTCGGTGCTGCTCAACTTTTGCAAATCCGATGCACTGAAGTAGCGTTTGGAGAGGATTTTGTGAAACTGAACGTAAATTTCATTCGGAGTATTAGAATTTTCGTGTCAGGCCCCGTTCGCGCGACAACGGGGCCCTGAAACAAAGAGTACCACTTAAAATACTTAGTTCCTTTGGGATTTGAACTTGTGCAAGAAACGCTCG